ACCTTTATTTCATAGGAAATAGATTCTTTGAACATAACAGATGGTGCCACTATCGAAAAGACACAGGGACAAACAATATAGAAAAAATTCATGTCAAACTTGTTACATCTTATTCAAAAACAGTGTACTGCTCTTGTTGGCAAAATCTATGCATTTGCAAGTTATAACAATACTGGTTCTACTCAAACCTTTAAACAAAAGTTTAAATTAAAATGGTTTATTCGCAAGAATAATACTTAAGCAAGTAACAATATGAGAGTTCAATAGCAGAGTAGATAGTTCATAATAGCAGGTTGCCAAATTACCAAACTGTCTTCCAATGTTGAGGAGTAGGTGGATGGTTCCAGTGGAGGTTGTTTCCAGGTTATCTTCCCAGGTCTTTGGGTCCAGATGGAAGCTGCATGCAGATTGAGAATAATGAGGATTTATATACTTTGAGGTTTGTCTCTGATATCCAATCATCACTTTACAGTTGCCAAAATGTGTAGTTCATATTTATCTTTAGTAACAGGATGTTATTAGGTTGAACAGCCCTTAGCTGTACCTAACCTTTTCTATTACTGTTTTCTTCTGCCTAACCATTTCTCAATCTAAATTTTTGTCTTGAAATTTCTCATTCAATTTTGGGATAGGGCTAGCAGTCATATAGCAGCCAGAACAAAAGTGTACCTCAAGAGAAAGGAAGTGGAAACACTGGATCCATGGCCAGCAAACAGCCCAGACCTGAACATTATTGAGCAAATATGGGGCATATGCAAAAAACATTTAATAGCACCTAAGCCAAGAAACAAGGATGAGCTGTGGGAGATGTTCAGAGAGGAATTTTTTAAAATTTCAGAATTGGAAATTAAATTCTTATGCAAGAAAATACAAAGAAGGCTTGGGGCTGTTGTAGAAGCAAAGGGTATGCAAACAATATACTAAGGCATCAACATATATAATATCCTGTTGAATAACAGTCAAAATAAGAACAAAAAAATACTTGTAATATTCTTTTACAGTAATTTTTATGATTGTAACAAGTAGTTATGGTCCCATTTAAAATAGGCCTACCACATTAAAATATCCATAATTCAGAGATTTGAAATGAAAAATGTATATTTTCTCTCTATAATGATAAGAAGAGAATTATTTGTACTTTGTTGTATTGTAATTGTAGGAGTTTCTGGTTTATCACAACTGTAATTGTCCTTTCCAATCATTTATCAATTTGCAAAAGTACCATTCCAAATAGAACCTTTAAAGTTTGTCCACAAATAGTCCAACAACTGTAATTTTGGTAGAAATCAATCAACAAAACACCACTATTTCGTCCAGAGAATATGTCTTGGGTAAAATGAGCTTCTAGTTTTAAAAAAGCTAGTTTAAACAACTGCTGATGATTAGAAAACTGAACTATCAACTGTTAATCTTGTAGGATTTAAATATTCTTTAAAGGGTTGATAGTTCACAAATTTCAATGTTAACAAAAACAAAAGTAACATTTTCAGACAAAGAAGAGTTCACTATAGAACTTCAATGTAAGATATAAAATATTTGATAGATCAAGTTTTTAGAGCAATTGACAGGAAAAAATGAATAATAAGAATTACAAATATTTAAATATTAATATATTGATTAAGTAAAAAAAAGGGGAGCAGGTGAAACTGTACCTGGGTTAAACCATACCCACTAGAGGGTTAAACCATACCCAAGTTAAACTGTACCTGGGTTAAACTGTACCCATAAAGGGGTTAAACTGTACCCATTTTTTATTTAATATACTGTATATGTTTATTAAACTTGTGATAATGAAATCTATGTTATACTGATACAATTTATATAGGCAGATATATAAAGATACATTTATCTAAAAAATGAAAAGAAAAAGAGAATATGAAATGTAGGTAAAATCTATGGAGCATATATATGAGATGTTTGTAGCAATAATTCATCTGCTGATATTTTTCCTAATCTGTACTCATCCCAAATGTCAAATATTTTTTTTCTCTCTCCACATACCTTTTTCTTTGATATCTATATATTTGTTTATCAGACATCACCTTTTCATAGATAATGATCAAATCTCCCTCTTTTTTCAGTTCATCCACTAATATGTAGAATGAGCCTTTTGAATTCACTTGACTATTCATCCTATTGTGCCAACCCTCAAGGATGCAACAGAAAACGTCCATGAAAGAAAACATCCATGAATCAAAAGAACACATAAAGTAAAGAAATTTTCATTTAAATATAAATATATGTTGAAAAACAAAGTAAACTTTAAAAAAACTGGTAGTGATGAAGAAATCTTCAGGAAAAGAGATACAAAATATCAGCTTCCTCTTCTATTTTCACTCTCTTCAGGTAATATGAAATTTTTAATTTTTAGAGGTTTTTTTTGTTCTTATTAATCTTTGTGATTAAAAACTTATTGATTATTTTATTAATAATCAATCTAACATAAATTTAGCAATTTTATTAGTTAATGAAGTTTTTTTTCAATATTATTGTCAAAATACTAATTGTTACATAAATAATCATAATAATGATATGACAAAATCATTTATTAATTTTAGTTTAGCTCTTCTTTTTCTCCAATATTTTAGAAAAAATATTGAATAATGGACAAGTGTTCTAGAATGATAAATTTGTTGGTAGGCAAATAAAAGGCCAATGCTCATTGTGCCTGCATATTTGTCATATAAAATGTCTGCATGGTTTGTACTATCTTCTACTTGAAAAACATTTACTGTTTTTTTTTCTTCCAGATTCATCAACAGTATCACCACTCTGTTTTATTTGTTATAAAATAACTAAAAAAACCTGTTTTGTGATGTTAAAAAGAATTGATGAACCAAAAAAATGCAGGGAAAGTGTACCAATAAAAAGTAATTCTACTGCAAAACTTAATGAGAAGGAAGAAGCAATTGTTGAATATCTAGAAAAGAATATTGAGGAGAATAACAGCATGACTGAGGAAAAATTAAAAATTGATGAGAAAGGAGACAATAATCAAGGACAAGAAAAGAGTACTGAAGAGTTCACAGAAGAATTGAGGTTATCTATATCATGGAGTAGCAATGACAATAATAATGAAAGTATAAACACAAAGGTTGACAAAGGAAATATCATTAATGGAAGTGATATTGAATATGATAATGAAATTGAAGTTGAAAATTTTGAAACAATTCAAAATGCATATATAGAATCTGAAAAAATTGAGGAAGAATCTTTTGAAAGTGAAACATCTGCCAAAGAAAATTCTTCTGACTATTTTCATTTTAAAATTCTGCCACATGGAAGTCAAAAAGGCAAAGACTTACTTTTTCACAAAGGTTTTTCATATACTATTAAATTAAAAACAAAAACAACTACTGTATGGACATGTTCTGTCAGAAGCAAAAAAAGAAAATGTAATGCAAGCATCAATCAAAAAGGAATTTTGCAATTGGGACAAATGTTCATTGTCATTCACCAATAAAAAATTTAGAAGCCAGGATTTGTATAAGAAATGAAATCAAAGACAATTGTTCTAGTGATATAAATTCTTCAGGTAAAAGATTTGCTGAAAATTTCATTTATTAAGTATATGTTTAACATATTCTTTTACCAAAGGTTTACTTTTTCAACATATATTTATATTTAAATGAAATTTATTTTAATGGATGTTTTCTTTTGGTTCATGGACGTTTTCTGTCGACCCTGAACCTTTCATTCAAATGTACTCTATTCATGTATTTTTGAAAAAAAATGGACAGCTTAAGCAAGTTCCATTGCTTTTTTCTTTTCTGTCTTCTAAAAAAAAGAGAGCATATAAACTACTTTTCCAGGTAAGAATTACATTTCATAAATATACTTACTAATAAGCAATCATGTTAAATTTTTAAGGCTGTGAAGGATTTAGCTGAAAATTGTGCTCCTAAGAAAATAGTCTTAGACTATGAAAAGGCTGTTTGGAAAACTTTACAAAATATATGGCCCAATGCTGTCTTGACTGGATGTTCATTTCACTGGTCTCAGGCAATATTTAGAAAAATTTAGGTTTATTAATTTCTAAAATTTTTAACAATCCAATTAATGTTTGTTTTGTTTAAGGAACTTGGTTATAGCAGGGAATTTAGAAAAAAAGAGGGAGCTTGGGAATCCATGAGAATGATTATGTCTTTGCCATATTTGCCTCATGGCATGATTGAAAATCAATTCACTAAAATTCAAACTCAACTGACAAAAGAAAATAAACTGTCTGATTTGTTGGACTATGTGTCTAATAGCTGGATAAAAAATACATTTTGATCTCCAAAGACTTGGTCTGTTTTTGATCAAAGCATAAGGACAAATAATGATCTGGAAGGTCGACCCCAACAAATAACATTAGAAGCAACAGCAAACGAAATAGATATGTATGTAAAAAACAGTTAATGTTTTCTTGTGAAGTAGTAGTAGTATTGGGTGCTAACATAAAACAGGGTTAGGGTTAGCAAACGGTGTTTTTTAAATTGACTGAATACCTGTTCATAAGGAAAATGATATAATTAACTGAATGTAATTTATATTCTGATTGCAAGTCAGTAATGTTTTGCTCTACTCCATTATCATTACCAATTATTTAGATATTCTTTTTAGAGCTATTGATTAAAAAACATTTTTTCATATTAGTATTGAAGTCAAAAGACCTATTTAAAAAAAATAACATTATTGGCCATTTTTTGTGTACTTCAGTTTGATGCTTTATAGAAAACTGTAAAAAAAAATCAAGCCTATTTAATTTTTATAGTTTTAATGTAATAGTTAAGCATAGTGGGCTTTTTCAACAACTCCAAGAAAATTATGTAAATTAATTCTGAGTTGTATATTGTATACTTCATTCTTGCTCTTCAGATGAGAGTACTTCCAACAGTGTTTTTTGAGTGTAGGACTAGTACTTGTGGTGGCTTGGTTTGCTAGGTTTTGCTAGGTATTTCAAATGAGAAATGTCTCTTTTAACAAACTGATTTTAAAGAATTATTTAAATGAAAACTGGTATATCGAATAATAACCAGAATATATAAACCATTAAACATGCAATCGGAGATTAAAATTTCAGCTGTTGAACTAGATAGGAAATTGAAGGTTTGGACTATCATTACAATGGCTGCTCATATAGCTTATGTTGCTATTGACAATTATACAATTATGAGGAATGCAGCTATGAAGAAAGGGAAGAACAGAAAACTAAATAATTCAAGTAATTTCAAAAATATTTTATTTTTTAATTGAAGTGCACAGTTATGTAATTAATTTTAATTACTCTAACAATATTTCACAAATTTCACTGGTATGTTGATAAAGGATAAATTTACAGATTGAATCATAAAGACACTTCAAACAGGTGAATTCACAGCTTGATAGAAAACTTTCCAATTTGCATTCTTCATATTTGTCATCAACAATTTGATGGATTAGATTTAAATTTTTGCACATTTCTTCACTACTCTCTTTGATTGTTATATTAATTTTTGCCAAACTATTGAATTTTGCCAGGAATTTTATATCTGCAGAGTTGATTGGTGTACATGTATTAGGATTCTTATCAAAAGCAATTGTTTTACTTGTAGAGTGGCAACTATTCTTACTTAGAGATTTCAATCCATTCACTCCAGGTATCAGACTATGTGCCTCAATACCACTGAATCCAATATGACCACTATAACTATGTAATGTTTTTGGATAGAGCTTTAGGTAATTTGAATAGTAGATTTTATCTAGTTGAAAAGTTTGTTCAAGAATATTATTGAGTAAATCATGGGAAAATGTACCATCCAGAAACTCCAAATCTATGTTCTTTACTAGCAGAGCTGGTGTTTGTCTCTGAGTGATTTTAAGAAAAGATATTCTATACAAGTGTTGAAAATCTATTCTTAGCCAGCAATTGACAACTGAATTGCCATTTGATATCCACTCTCTTCCATTGACCTCACCACCTGGAAGTTGTACCAAGTGATTTAATGCAAACTGGCAATGTCTTTCATTACTATATGTAGAGGAAGATGAGCAGCTGGTTCCCCTTTGAAAATGTGCTACATCTGTTGCCTCTAGAAGATTGGTGTGATAATATAATATTTCACATCCATCTTCCATCACATTTGGATGTCTATCCCAGTCAACGAAGTAGTAAACTTTGCCATATATTGTTAATTCTCCTTCTCCACTGATGCCTGCTCGATTTGAAAATTCAATTTTTAAACTCTTTGTTACAATTTGGTTTGTTAATATGAATCGTCGCCAGACAAAAGGCAATGTAAACAATTGTGTAGTCTCCTCCTGACCATCTGGAAAAATCATCTTTGCACTATTATAGCTGGTTTGAGTAGTGTAAGAGTTGATTGAAATCACCCTTGATTTGACAACCCAAGAAAAATTAATCCAAGATTTCTCTGTATCAGCATTGTTTGGTAACCAAAAATTATCATTCTGTGTAGAGCCATCAAACAACTTTTTGCAAGATCGGTCTTCACTAATCTCAGATGAGGCTTGACATTCTATGCCAAAAAATGGCTGAGCTAAATTCACAATCATAAAATTCTCTGATTGAGAGAAATGAAAGTCTATAAAAACATATAGTGACAATATCAACATCACATTTGTTTTCTCCATTCCAGAGTGAATTGTCTAGAAAATAAGACAATTTTTACTCAAACATTAAAAACAAACAGCCCTTGTTCAAAATTTTTGTCTTTATATATTAAACAATAGAAATAATTAATAAAAATTTTATTTTCATACATATTTTCTAACCCTTTGTTCACTTTGTTCAATTTCAATTGTCCTAAATAATGTTATGTATCTTGTATTGAAAATATCAAAAAACTTACATAAATATTCTGATTATTGATTGCTTACAATTAAACAACACATGTCAACCAATACAGATTGCTTGGTGGAACAACAATTAAAAAAGTGAATGAAGATGAAGAAGGTTTTGAGGATTTGAAAAATGGTATTTCAAAATTAATCAAAATTTCAAAGAAAAGCATGAAAAAATACAATCAAAGTAATATGGATTTTTCAAAATATGTTCATTTACCAAAATTAATGGAAGTAATTAAGGAAGAAAAAGAATTTAAAGAAATTTTGGACTTGTGTGAAAAAAATATTTATAGAAAAAATAAAAAGTGTCTTGAAAAATATGGTGAAAAAAAGAAAAAATTTGCTCAAGTGTCAAAAAAGAATTATTAACATTTTATAGAAAAGTACATAAATTGGAAGAAGAGATTATACCACAACAAGAAAACAATACTACAGCAGAAAGAGAAATTGATCAATCAACAAGACCAGTTCCAATTAGAGCAACAGAAGAAATTCCACAAACATCAACTATTGCAGACAACACTATTGCTACAACACTAAGAGAACAAACTGCAATAACTACAACAAGTGATGAAGTAATTATTGAAGCTGCAGCCAGAGCAGAAGCAGCAACAACAGCATCAGCAGACACTGGAACAACTATTAAAATAAGTGATTGTAATGCAGTCAATTATACACAAATGGATATTGGTTTATTAGAAGAATTGGGTATTAATTTACAAATTGGCCAAGAAATTGAGATGGAAGAGATAAATGAAGTAGAAGAAGAAGAGGAAGAAATAGTAGATAAATTCTACTTTGATTTACAAAAAAAAATGAAAGAAAAATAGAGGTAGGTAATATGTTGATTGTTCAAAGAACTAATAATATTATTGTAGACACTGGTTCTTTAAATATAATTGATAAAACACAAAAAATATTTCTCAGAAAGGTAAAACCACAATTTACAAATGTTACTGATTATACCATTCTTACAGATCAATTTATTAAGTTAGGTGATAAAAAATGGAAAAAGGTACAATCTATGATTAAAACAGAAAAAAAAATACAAATATTTTGTATTGAAGATTTAAAAATGGGTGATTTACTTCCAATTATAACTGGTTGGAAATTAATCACCAGTAATCTTTTTATATATTTAAAGAATATTCCAAAAGACATAGACATAAAAAAAATTGTTAAGCAGTTACCTTTTTCCAAAAATAATTTGTGTTTTACAAAAAAAACTTTTGACAAAGAAATTTGTCAAAATTTGAAAGTCATGGGATGTAAGTTATTAAACCATCCCAATGAAATATGCAAAAAAGAGGAAACTCTTGTTATTAGATTGCTTAGAGAATTAATGTCTGCTGTTAAATGTTAATATGTTGTTCAAAAATATTTGCTTTGTTTTTAGGCATTTGTATTAGTTATATATAAATTTTTATCTATATTGTAATCTGTTTCATTTTTTAAATGTATATATTTTGGTTTGTTTGAAAATAATAAAAAAACTTTAAAATACAACAGATAGTAATTATTCAATTTTATTATTTATCAATATTTTTTTCGTCAGGCTTTTACTTTCACTTAAAAAATTTCACTTTCACTGAAAAATTTTTTTACAGGTTAATGTTTTTCTTTTCATGTGGGAAAATATTTCCAATTAGAATTTATAACACTATTATAATGACTTAAGACTGTTTTAAATTTTGTAAATATATATATATATATATATATATATATATCTTTAGATGATATCATTAGTATCTTGTATAATGTTCATTAACATGTGTATATTTATGCATTTTATTGATAGTTTGAATGTTATCTTGAAAAGTATATGCTTAAATGAATCAACTGAAATGGTATATATTGTGTTTGGTATCTAAATTATTGTTTTTATTTATATAATAATTATATATTGATTCAATGTTACAAATACTGTATGTATTAAAATAATTTTAATTAAACATTATTTAAATTTTCGTCATCTTTAAAATTACCACTAGAGGGATCTGCAAAAGTTTCTCCCATAGCCAATCAGAGAGCTGCTTTAGTACTCTAAGCCAATCAGCACACAGTATTCCTCAGACAACCCTTAGTTCTTGTTGGGGTAATTTCATTCCACCTCCAGCTTTTGTAGGAGTAAGACCTCTGTGTAACTATATAATAATTTTTTTTCTGATGGGTTATTCTGATTTTCCTATGAACAATTGTACAACTTTGGTTATATTTTACATGCTTGAACTCTATTATTTTATGCAACATATACATGTACATCTTAAAACCTACTCAAGAAAATGCTATAACATTGGCCAAACATAAGTCTGATTAGTCAGCTTGAAGGCTCATCTTTAATTACCAATAAAGGTTTGGCCAAGTTATAATTTAATTAACTTGCCTAGGGTGTGGCCAAGTTATAATTCAATTAACCTTCCTAAATGTTCAACCTTGTAACATCCTGTTACTAAACATAAATATGAACTACACATTTTGGCAACTGTAAAGTGATGATTGGATGTCAGAGGCAAACCTCAAAGTATATAAATCCTCACTATTCTCATTTGGCATGCAGCTTCCATCTGGACCCAAGGACCTGGGAAAATCATCTGGAAACAACCTCCACTGGAACCATCCATCTACTCCTCAACATTGGAAGACAGTTTGGTAATTTGGCAACTTGCTTTTACGAACTATCTACTCTGCTATCGAACTCTCATATTGTTACTTGCTTAAGTATTATTATTGCGAATAAACCGTTTTAATTTAAACATTTGTTTAAAGGTTGAGTAGAACCAGTACTGTTATAACTTGCAAATGCATAGATTTTGCCAGCAAGAGCAGTACAAATTTGGCGCAGTCAACAGGATAATATTTTGGTTTATTCAAAAGTTTTGAGAAAGTAAATATGGCAGAAGGAGGAAATGGAAATGCCACTGGGGCAGTTACAGACTCTAACCCTTCAACCCCAGCAACTCCAACAATTACAATTCAGCCAGCAGGAATGTCAGAAAGGCAACAAAGACTAATTGAAGACTATGATAGATTGGTGAGTGAAATGAAAAGAAATCGAATCACAATTCCAACAGATCATGGACATGGAACACATCACCCAGCACAGAACCCAAATGTTGATATCACAACAGTTATTCAAGCATTAAGGGCTGCTTGGGATTGCCCTCAAAGAACTATTCTCAAGTTGTATGATGGAAGCAACGAGTGTTCAAAATTCAAGGAAGACTTTAATCAGGCATGTTATGCTTATGGTTGGATTGGTGAAGATGTTGTGAAAGCAAATCTTTTAGATTATTTAACTGGTCCTGCAAAGGATTTGGTGTTGGCTCTGGATGGAGAGCCTACTGTGGAGGAAATATGGAAAGCCCTCCATGATGAATTTGATCTGGATCCTTTGGAGTATCAAGAGAAATTGCTTAACTTAAAGCAAATGAATGGCGAAAGTGTGGTTCAGTTTGTTAATAGAGCAAAGAAATTAATAAAGAGGTTTTCTCTGCCTAGACCATTTACTCAAATACATATTACTGGACTTGGAAAAGAATTAGATCAATCATCAAGACCAACTACAACAATTGGAACTGAAGAAATTGTTATGACACAAACACCAACAATTGCAGAAGCAACCAGTCAACAATTAACAACATTTACAGAACAAACTGCAACTACAACTAGTGATGAAGAAATAATTGAGGCAGCAGCTAGAGCAGAGGCTGCAACAACTCTTCAAATAAATGATTGTAATACTGACAATTATACACAAATTGATATTGGTTTATTAGAAGAATTGGGAATAAATTTAGAAGTTGGCCAAGAAATAGAGATGGAAGAGATAAATGAAGGAGAAGAAGAAGAAGGAGAAATTGTTGATCAGTTTTATTTTAATTTACAAGAGAAAAATGAAAAAAAGATAGATATAGGTAATATGTTGATTGTTCAAAGAAGCAATAATATTATGGTAGACACTAATTCTTTGAATATTATTGATGCAAGTCAAAGATTATTTTTAAGAAAGGTTAAACCACAATTTACAAATGTAACTGATTTTACAATTTTAACAGATCAATTTGTTAATTTAAATGAAAAAAAATGGGAAAAGTTACAAGCTATAATTAAAACAGAAAAAAAAGTACAAATGTTTTGTATAGAAAATTTAGAAATGGATGATTTACTTCCAATTGTAACTGGTTGGAAATTAATTACAAGTAATCTTTTTGTATATATAAAGCATAATTCTAAAAATGTTGACATTAAGAAAATTGTTAAGCAGTTACCTTTTTCCAAAAATAATTTGTATTTCACAAAAAAATCATTTGATAAGAATATTTGTCAAGATTTGAAAGTAATGGGATGTAAATTATTAAACCATCCTAATGAAATATGTAAAAAAGAAGAAACTCTTGTTATTAGATTGCTTAAAGAATTAATATCTGTTGTTAAAAATTAAATTTAGTGTTCAAATTATTTGTATTAGCTCTATTCTTTTTAATCAAATTTGTTTTTTATATATTCTTACAATTTCTTTCAAGTGGTTTGTATATTTGTTGTACAAATAAAATTGAAAAAATCATATAATCAGATTCATTTTCTCTGTCAGACTTTACTTTCACTAGAAACTTTCACTAAAAAAATTTGTTTTTTCTTGTGGGAAAACATTCCCAATTGCATTTTAGTGCAAGATATTTTCTCACAAGACAATAAAAATTACAGAACACTTGTTCATGGCATGTAAATATATAAATTAAATTATATAAAGGTGTTTGTATGTGAATTATTTTAATCAAATATTCCATAAAATTGACAGAAAATGAACTATTGTTTTTGATAAATTTATCAATAAATCTCTTGTTATTATAATATTTATTGTAATACCTGTACAATCATTCCCATAATATTTACAAATCTATTAATTTAAGTTTTAGATATTAAAAATATAAGAATTAAAGATATTTTCTACATTTTCACCATCTGGAAATGACTACTACAGGCATGTTAAAAAAAAAAAGTTAAGTATTCACCAATCAACATAGAGTATTTTACAGATAAACCTTACAGCTTGTTGGGAAAACATCATTTCATTTCCAACTTTTGAAGGAGTAGGAGCTCTTTGTAATTTTGTAAGGATTTATATTTTCTGATGGATTATTCTGATTTTTCCTTTGAAATATCTAAAATGAATAATTTATCAGAAAGTAAATAAAGTATTTTGTAGCCTAATCTTTGTGTAGGTTATCGAGTTGAGAATTCTTCCAATGGAGTGTTCTTTGAAGTACTGGAGAAAAAACTCTGCAGTTTATATAGTATGTTTCTAGGTATAAGTTTTATGTATTATAATTATTTGTAATTGTATTCTCTCAGATTGTATTTACTGAAAGCCTTTATGAGGTGTTCAAATACATGATGGCTGTTTTCAATTCAATTTCTCATTTGAGATACTGAATTCTGTATTAAATTGTCTTGTTTCCTTAATTTTTGACTGATTTCTCTTATATGATATCTTTCAAAAAATTAACTTAAAAAGGCATTTTCAACTACTTGATAATGCTTTTTTGTCTTTTGTTTTTCATGTTGTAAGTTTAGGAAGTATTTTGTAGGTCAGAGCTCAAAGCTTCTTTAAAAGAATTAAAATCTTCTCAAAAAATAGATAACTTTTTTGGTAAGTTTATCAAACAATGTTTCTTTTAATTGTCTTCTGCTTCCTTTTTTTTTTACAGAAAAAGAAATTATCTAAAAGCTGGAATTTTGCTTTTTATCTGGAAACATCTTTGATGAATATTTGAATGGATAGTAAAAATAAAATTTTAACTCTTTATTTGTCTACAAACAACATTTCTTTAATTTTTTTCAGGTTATTGTCCTTTACAAACTGCTTTTTTGGCTTAGAAAAACAAATGAAAGAAACAATCCACAACAATCATTTGACATCTGACTAATCAAGAATTTATTGAGAGACTAACAGGCTGGCGAACTGGATTGACTGACTTTAAAACATTAAATTTTAAACCTGCAATTGTTAAAAAAAAAGAACACTTGAAACTTTGTGTTTATTAATTACTTTTGACCCAGATAATTGTGCAAAAATGTTATTTATTTAAATATGTAATTTATAAAAAGCCTACTTTTCTTTCTTAAAGACATTGAAATGAAATTTTTAATATATATTCCTTTTTGTTCATATGAAAAATTAGAAAACAAATTGTGTATAGTTTTATGCAGAAATAATATGTTTTCTTTTTTAAAAGTTCATTAAATAATTGTATTTTTAAATTTCTTACAAAATGAACTAATAAATGAAGATATGCATGAAAAAACCTTCTATTTACATTACTATATTTTCTTACTTTGTCAGTGACAATTTTAAAGTTTTCCTTTTCCCAATTACATAGCCTTAAAAAGAACTTTTTAACCAAAATTTTTGGAAGCCATAACCACTTAACTATTGGAGGTAATTAAATTCTGTAAATGAATTTCAGACTGCCATACCAAAATTAGTCAATAAAGCAATTTTCAAATAACTACATTTATTAAAAACAAAGTTAATTTTCAGTCAAATATTTGATATATTGACTGGTTGGTCATAAATATCAACCAAATTTCATGGAGCTATAACTCATGCACCATAAAAGATAATTGAATTCTGTTAAAAGATTTGACATCGGTGTAATAAAATTGAAGTATATACCAAATTTCAAATTTCTACGTTTACAAATAAGAAAGTTAGTTTTTACATGACGAATATTTATTAAATAGGCTTGTATGACAAAATATTGACCAAATTTTATGGCACCATAACTCTTGAACCATAAGAGATAATTGAATTCTGTAAAAAGATTTGATATCTGTGTAATAATATCCTTTATTGTACCAATTTTGAATATTCTGTGACAATTAATAAGAAATTTAAGGTTTTTGTGATGAAATTGTATATAAAAGCCTATATGTATAGATTTTCTAATTGTATCTTTGCTTTTTTAAGGATTAATGTCACATTAAAGAATAATGCAATTAATGGGAAAAGTGTTTAATTGATGGCAATGGTTTGGTTACAAGTAATTTTGGGTAAAAAAACTTCCTTATCTAATTAATTAATTGTATTAAAGTAAACTCCTCCTACCAATGAATGTATATTTAGCTGTGTGTATTTAGATGAATATTATCATTCACAAGTTGGATACTGATAGATATACATCTAAGTCAGAAGACAGAAGTTTTTGTAAGTATTCTGTAAACTAAAAAAATAAATGTGAAAAAGAGATATTTTGTTTTTAAAGCACAGAAGATATGTTTTATCAACAACCACTATCACCATCAACTTTATTTGAAATACAGTCTGATATGGAATTAACTGAACAAGGAGAAATTGTACCATGTATTAAAACAATTGAAGAGAAATTTGAAATGAAAATTTTAAAAGACTTTGGAAAAAAGAATTTTTTACAAATTGGACAAAATATTGAGTTTGATACAATGGCTGATGTTGAACAATCTTTAAATTTTGATACATCAATTACAATTTTACAAAAGGAAAATGAAAGGTTTTGTAATTTTGATAATATGTTAATTGTCAAGAGAGCAGTTAATATCACAAGTAATTATAGTTTTTCAAAAGGAAAACTAGAAAAGCATCTAAAAAGAATAAAACCTTTCAAGATCCTATCAACAGATTATACAATTTTAACTGATCAATTTGTAGATTTAAATTTTGAAAATTTTTCTAAAGCTAAAAATATTTTGAAACTTGAACAAGCTTTTCAAATTTTTTGCATTGAGAAATTAACAATTAAGGATATATTTCCAATAATACTTCAATGGAATTTGAAAAGTAAAAATATTCTAATCTATTTGAAAAATAGAATTGTAAACTTTGATATCAAAAAAAGCATTGAAAGTTTATTTTATTTTATCCCAGATCTGCATTTATATTTTGTTAGAAACTCTTTTAACAGAGAGATAGCAAATGATTTAAAGTTGATGAATTGCAAATTTATTTCAAACCCAAATGAAATGTGTAAAAAAGAGATAACTGTTCTAGTTAGAATGATGAGAATATTTTTCAAAGCAACAAACAATTGATTTTGTCATTGTTTTACCTTTTACTTGTTTATAAATATATGTGTAGTTTGTTAATTATTAATTCTTATTTTTTTTAATGTTGCTTTTTTCGCTTTTGTAATAAATATATATAAAATATTTGGAAATCAAATGAGACATGTAAAAAATAAGAGCATCTCTTTAATGAATGATCTGAATCAATCTTTAAAAGAATAAAGAATTAATTTCTTAATTTCCTTTCTTGAATATTCTTATATACATGTATTTAAAAAATTGAACAAATGTTGACATTAATTTATTCCATTAATTATATTTACTGGGCCATAGCTTAAAAATTGTTATAGATAATTAAAATTTTTAAATAGATTTGAGATTGCCATACTAATATTAGTTAATGTACCAAATTTCAATAAACAACTGTTTTTAATAAGAATGTCAGTGTTCATCTGACAAATGTTTAAAATATAATCTTATGTCAACAAATATTGACCTAGCTTTGGGGCGCCATAACTCTTGACTGGTAAAAGATAATTGAATTCTGTAAAAAAAATTTGACATCGGCATACCAAAATTGAGCTATTTACCAAATTTCAAATTCCTACATTTACAAATAACAAAGTTAGTTTTTACATGACGAATATTTATTACATAGCCTTGTATGACAAAATATTGATCAAACTTTATAGTGCCATAACTCTTGAACCATAAGAGATAATTGAATTCTGTAAAAAGATTTGATATTGGTGTAATAATATCAAATAATGTACCAAATTTCAATCCTTGGTGACAATTAATAAGAATGATTAATTTTCAGTAGCAAAATTTTATACACAGGTCTAAATAAGATTTATAGTTCAAAATTTAGAGATTAGTTGTTTGAAATGGAAAATATTGCATTTAATTAAATAAACAAAATATCATATCTGAATAATACAATCTAACTTATACTATTTTCTGAAAAATGACTTGAAAAAAGAATATAGAAATATTTCTACTTAAAATAAAAAGAAAAGTAAATTTGAATAAACATTTGTATTTTTGCTTTAAGAATGATTGATATAAGGACAAAATTTTTTCACACTCATGCTAAATAAAGAAAGAAGTACATAAAAATGCTGGAAAATTTGAAAAACAGTTCCTTAAAAGCTATTTTTTGGATAAAATCCTAATTTTTCCTTTAATTATTATGGTAAAGTGTGTTTCCTTTTCAATCACTTCATCCTCACTATGATTACTTTCAGTATCATCATTATTGATATCACTGCCACTATAATCACTTTCAGAATTATTATCACTGGCCTGGTAATCACTTTCATTATTAATATCATTACCATTATCATAACCTTCATAATTGGTTTCACTACTTGAATCTTCACTTGCATCATCAGATATATATTCATTTTCAAAGTCTTCTAACTTGGTCTCTTGATCTTCATCTTTCTTATCAGAGGAGTTGATACTGGTTTCTAAATTCCACAGTTTATTCCATAAGTTTTTAGCCATCTTTTTCTGTCAAGTGTTTGAATGTGAATGATGAAGCAAAACATTTGTAGATTGTTTTATATCCTCTGCAATTACATAATTGACATGTGAATAATTCTTTTGAAAACAGTTGACAGCATCTTGTATTGGGCAATGTGTTATTAAATTTTTTCATGTAAGGAATTTGGTTCCCACAAGAAAAACAACTATTTTTCTATCATTTATCTTTCAGTTATATAATAATACTGATAGCAGTCATGAGAGGGCTTTTCTTAGTCAAAGTTAACATTGTCCATGTTGCAATGACAGTGAATTATAACAATACTGGTTCTACTCGAACCTTTAAACAAATGTTTAAATTAAAATGGTTTATTCGCAATAATAATACTTAAGCAAGTAACAATATGAGAGTTCAATAGCAGAGTAGATAGTTTGTAATAGCAGGTTGCCAAATTACCAAACTGTCTTCCAATGTTGAGGAGTAGATGGATGGTTCCAGTGGAGGTTGTTTCCAGATGATTTTCCCAGGTCCTTGGGTCCAGATGGAAGCTGCATGCCAAATGAGAATAATGAGGATTTATATACTTTGAGGTTTGTCTCTGACATCCAATCATCACTTTACAGTTGCCGAAATGTGTAGTTCATATTTATCTTTAGTAACAGGATGTTACAAGGTTCAACATTTAGGAAGGTTAATTGAATTATAACTTGGCCACACCCTAGGCAAGTTAATTAAATTATAACTTGGCCAAACCTTTATTGGTAATTAAAGATGAGCCTTCAAGCTGACTAATCAGACTTATGTTTGGCCAATGTTATAGCATTTTCTTGCGTAGGTTTTAAGATGTACATGTATATGTTGCATAAAATAATAGAGTTCAAGCATGTAAAATATAACCAAAGTTGTACAATAGCGCCATAACTCTTGAACCATAAAAGATAATTGAATTCTGGAAAAAGATTTGAGATCAGCGTAATATTATCCTTTATTGTACCAAATTTGAATATTCTGTGACAATTAATAAGAAATTTAAGGTTTTTGTGACGAAATTGTATATTAATAAAAATGTGACTTATGGAAAAGTATCTAATTGGGAGTTACAACTACTGTTCAACTAATTAGCATTTATATTTTATTTAAGAAAAACCCTTTCCTTAATTAATTTTCTCATGGGAATATTTTTGTTAAATTTGATTTTATTATGTAATAGAAGAAGTTTATGTGTGAAACTGAATATGACTACTTCCATTATGTATAAATTTAAACTGTGATATTAAGTATTGTTCTGTTAAAGGAATACATTACACATAACATTATGGATCCAGAAACTTACTCACCACCCAAATTTTTGATGGATGAAAATGGAGATATGTTTGAAGAGGAGGATGAGGATAATTGTGAGTTACCAACCACATCAACAGACAGAAATGATTCTAACAATAAACCAATTATTGAATTATTAAAGGAGATAACAGATGATTATAGTTTTTCATTCAATGCTCATGTTTTTAATAGAAGAATTGACAATGAAAAAATTACTGAAATAAGGAAATTGTTACATAGAAAAGAAAACTATTTTAGCAATGAAGAAGAAGCAATTAATTGTATCAAATGTCACCCTCCAAACATAGATATAAATTCAGATGTAATAATTTTAAATGATTTTACACTTAGTTCAATTTCATTTAAATATCTTCATCAAATTCCAATCAAATTTAAATGCAATTTAGATTTCTTTGCAATTAATATTCATGAATTAAATTTTAATGTTGTATCAACAATTTTAAGTTGTTGGAAAATGACATTTAGCTATGTATTTATATATGTAAAATCATTGTATGATTTAAATAAGTTATGTCTTGAAACAGTAAGCAAATGTTTACAGGAAGGAAAAAAAGTTGTAATTTGCATTCCATTTACAAAGAAAAAGTTAAGTGATGAAAGTCAACATTTGATTGAAATTTTAAAAAGGAAAAAAATTATTGTTGTTAACTTTACAAATTTAGAAGGATTGGGCTACTTTGATTATCCTTTTGTTAGTAAAAAATCATATGATCTTTCAGATAAAACACAAAAAATTTTCTTTGATGAATGTTTAAAGTTGGTATTAAAATTTCAAAAGTAATGTGTTTATTTTTTTTGAAATATAACAAACTATTTGTAATCTAATTTAAACAGTATTTTTTACATTAAAAGAAAAAAGAATATTACAAAATACAATTAAAAAAAAAAGTACTAATTTTTTTTCAAAATAAACAATACAATTGAAAAACATTTTAATCAAGTTAATTTAGAGTGAGGTTATTGATTTCTCTTTTAATTATCATTCTGAAATCTGCATCTTTTTCTAATTCTTCATCATCATTGCTATCACTATCATCACTATCATCACTATCACCAATATCATAATACACAATTGTTTTCTTCTCAACATCTTCTCTTTCTGCCTCATTTTCAGTATCTTCCTCTTCATCTTCACTATCCTCATCTTCACTATCCTCATCCTCCTCAACTTGTTCTTCCTCTTTCTCTTCTCCATTAGCTCCAACAGTTTGACCAATTTCCATTTCAATATATTCAACATCATCATCATCTTCTACCAAATTGTTGTTTTGTTCTTGAGATTCTTCTTCCATTTCCTCTCTATCACTTGTTTTGTCATTTTTTAATTTATAAAATATATCCCAAAGATTTTGTTCCAAGTCTTGAAATAAAGAGTCTTGTTTATCTTTTGTTAACTTGCTAAACTTATTTTCATTTTCATGAATTGTTAAATTTCTGATAGATTTTAAAACTTCATTAAAATCTTTTTCTTCATCCACAACATTAATTAGTTGAGTTAATTGAGGATACATTTCTAAATTCAGTTGGTTCTGATAAAAATTTATTTTATCAATTTTGAATTGCTCTTTTAGTTCTTCCAGTTTGTAAAAACTCTTAATAAAAGGATTAATCCCCATATTCTTAAAGTCATTAACTCCTACATCACCAATTAAATTGATTTGATCAAAGTTAAAACTCTTTTCATCTTTATCCTCAAATTCTGTTAAAATTTATGTTATTAATATTTTTAAAAGGGAAAAGTAATTAAAGTCTCCCCAAAGAACATTACCTTTAAATGTATTAACATTATAATGTATATTATAAATATACTTCAACTGCTCCCTTAGAAGTTTTCTTGTTTTACAAAGTGTTCCAAAATTTTCTGGCATAAACCACTTTAGACCATTAGATGCCATCTTCTCCTCTTCAAGAGCTTTAAGACAAATGAGAGGATAATAACTTTTCTTGTCTGCTATTGCATAACTGTCATGAGAATGTTTATTTAATAAAAATGTTGACAGCTACTTGTATTGGGTAATAACTTTTTTATTCTTTAATGGAAAAAGGTTGGGTTCCCACAAAACCTTATCACTTTCTATCTTTTATCTTATCATTATATAATCTTGACATTTATAAAATGTAAAAATATTGTGGGAAAGGCATATGAGCTAGGCTCCTCCTCCTCCTCCTCCTCCTCCTTTTCCAGAAAATGAGTGTTGCTTTGCATTTCAATTTTCAAATTCCCATAGAAAGGTTGCATAGAAAAATGTCTGACAGTCAGTTGCTATCTTTCAGTAATTACTTCCTTGAAAAGACCCAGGAGTATTTAAATTGGATTGTTGCTAATTATTCAAGAAATGATTTTTTGAATATGGAAAAAACAGACTATTTCTATTCTACAATATGTGATTCTTTAATATGTACTGAAGAGGCACTTGTTGATCTTTTATTCTATTTAGATGATAAGGATGTTTCAGTGGAAATGTTGGATAAAATATATGATATGTTCTACAGTGTTAATAATGTAAGATATATGGAAGATTTCTTAAATGAAAGTGGATCTGAACATTTGCCTGAAGAATTATTCTCTTAAACTTTGTTTTCAAGAAAATTCATCCTATAACTTTGAAGTTACCACTGCAACTTTTATTTGATATTGTGAAAAAAATTGTTACAACAAGTCTACATTTTTTTAGAATTTAGCTAAAGTGTAAAAAAATCTGTTATTTTTTTGATTTTTTGTTAGTCTTAAAAGAAATATAATATTTGAAAAAAAGCACATGAAAATCTTATTTTATCCTACAAAAAAGAGTATTCTTTATTATTGGGAAAATTAAAAAACAATTAAATGGCAATATCAAGCCCATTAAATAAAGATACATGTAAATATTTTTAAAAAATTCATTAATTGCAAAAGAAAAAATATCACTAAAGTTCTTGTGGCTCCCTCTGTTTTCAATATTTTATAGCTTTAAAGTCATTAGCCATCAAACTGTTGAAGAGGGGCTGTAATATTTTATTAACAAGTAAGATTTTATTATTAATTGCAAGGTGTATTTCTAAAAATTTTTTGTGTTTAGATGAATACTTCAGTGAATATAGAAAATATTATAAGCCATATGGAAAACTTTTGTGATCTGTTTTTCTCATTCTATCATGTTGGTAGATTTGAAATTCCAGTTTTTTCTATACTCTATGATGAGTTCTTTTGCCCAAGAGTGAAAGGCATGAGAAAATTCTTAATTCAAAAGTTCAATCACATCATACTTAATACATTTGAATGGCCTATTGAAATACTGGAGAGAATTGGCAAGTCCATTGTAAAGTTTAATGTAATTATTGATATAAAGAAAGTTTTCAATGAATATGGAATGGAGCAGATAACTGAAGATTTCTTTGATTGTATGTGATAGTTGTATTTGGTCAATCAGTGTTGATATTATTTTTTCTGTATCTTACAAATCAAAAATTTCTGAAAAAATTTGAATCATTTTTTAATTTAGTTTCAACACAGTGTTCTTCTGTTTTATTAATAGTCTTTTAAAATTGGTGATAATTTTCAATAAAAAAAATAAATTGAGTTCATTTCTTTAACAAATCAGAGTGCTTTGTATGCTAAAAAATATTTTACAAAAGAGTGTAAAAAGCAATTTCCTGATCAGTCAACAATTTGGGGTCAGATGGTAAACTCTAAAAAATTAAAACAGAAATGGATATTGAGGAAGTTTTGAATTTTATGTCTTACTTTGCTGAACAGATTTTCTCAATTTATACATTGGATACATTTGATAATGCAATCTATATACTACTTTATGACACCTTTTTATGTCCAAAGGCTGTAATAATGAGAAATTATCTGGTGACAAAATACTATGAATTGGAAAATTATTGCAGCAACTTCCAGGAAACTTCTGTATTGGAACAAAGAATTGTTAGAGCTATAATTACTTTTAATGTAATTATTAATCTTAAGGATATACTGCTTGAAAATAATTTACAGCAATGGAATTTTCAACCATTTTAATGTTGCTAAAAAAGATACAATGAATATTTGTAATATACAACTTCCTCAAGAAAAAAAAAACATTTTTTTGATTAATTTCTTAAAACTTTCAACAGTTCAGTTTTGGCAAATAAAGCTAATAGGATATTATTAAGTGTATCTTTTTTCCAAAATTTTAAAATGTGTTAACATTACAAATTAACTATTTTTTTTCATTTCAAACTATTTGATGGCAATTTGAAATTTCATTGTAAAATACAATAATATAAAATACAAAAAAATGTTAATTTCTTTTTTAATTATTAAGACTGTTGTTTTCTTTTCTATTTTTTTTAGATATAAAGGTAAACTTTTTCTTCTTCTTTGGTGATGCTTCATCTTCCTTAATATTACTGTCATTTATTTTTGCTGTTGTACAGTCAGTTGTGGTGTACTGCTCTTGCTGGCAAAATCTATGCGTTTGCAAGTTATAACAATACTGGTTCTACTCGAACCTTTAAACAAATGTTTAAATTAAAATGGTTTATTCGCAATAATAATACTTAAGCAAGTAACAATATGAGAGTTCAATAGCAGAGTAGATAGTTTGTAATAGCAGGTTGCCAAATTACCAAACTGTCTTCCAATGTTGAGGAGTAGATGGATGGTTCCAGTGGAGGTTGTTTCCAGATGATTTTCCCAGGTCCTTGGGTCCAGATGGAAGCTGCATGCCAAATGAGAATAATGAGGATTTATATACTTTGAGGTTTGTCTCTGACATCCAATCATCACTTTACAGTTGCCGAAATGTGTAGTTCATATTTATCTTTAGTAACAGGATGTTACAAGGTTCAACATTTAGGAAGGTTAATTGAATTATAACTTGGCCACACCCTAGGCAAGTTAATTAAATTATAACTTGGCCAAACCTTTATTGGTAATTAAAGATGAGCCTTCAAGCTGACAAATCAGACTTATGTTTGGCCAATGTTATAGCATTTTCTTGCGTAGGTTTTAAGATGTACATGTATATGTTGCATAAAATAATAGAGTTCAAGCATGTAAAATATAACCAAAGTTGTACAACTTCCCCCTTCTTTGTGAAGATGAGTCCCTTCATCTTGATTTAATGAGAATTACAGGTGGTTGTTCTTCTTCATTAGTTTGATGTTGACTAAAGCTACAACTTTGTTTCATTAGTTTTGGGTTTTCAGGAGAGTTATCTGTGCTCTCACTTGGGGTAGCAATTTCTTCTCTTTGTTTTCTTCTTCCAATAATATAGTTGAAAATGATGATACATACCATTGACACTACAATACTCAAACAAATATTTCATATGATAACATAAAGTGTTTTCCCAGGTTTATAGTACCAACTATGGAAAAACTGTTTAATTCCAGATAAATTGGGTACAATGCCATTTTTCTCTGCAACAGTGACCATGTTATCATACCTTGCCTGCTTCTGTTCCAGTGAACTGATAACTTGCTTAATTTTTGAGTGCTGGTATGCAATATCCTTCTTTACCCCATGGTGGAGTAGATCAGCTAATCTGGCAATTTCAATTTTTGGTTCAGAAAGGTGATTGTGGATATGTAACTGCATGGATTTTGCAGACACAGTGTGAAATCTGCATCCTCTTTCTGAATAATACACATACGTTTTGTCTTTCATTGGTTGGTTTCTTATAGGATTTAATGGGTTGTGAGTTGTTTTGTAGAATAACTTGTTAGACTTACACTCATTATAGGTAATCTCTTCAGGATTGACTTGCTGTAAAACATGAGTAACTGGTTCTACTTGGAAAAGCAGGTTGTTCATGGTGACAAGTAAAAATTGAGAACATTTGTTATTCTTTTTTATCATGCTTAAGTCACAAACTACTTCTGTTGAGGCTATTGGTGAACATTGTTTAATTATAGCTAATTCTCCCATCTGACTACTGTGCATTCCCAACTCATTTGTTAACACTGTGGTCAATTGAGGATCCAAATTTGCTAGTAATGCCATCATTCTGCTTCTTTGAACAAATTGATTGCAGAGAAGACTTGACAGCTGTTGGGTAAACTTTTTTAAATTCTTAAAATTTGAATCAATACCATGTAGTAAGGTAGATGTTTGGGCAGCTTCTCTCATTTCCAATGGGAATTTGTGGTATGGGTTTTTACTTATCTTATGTTTCAGTTTTGCTTCCTTCTTCATCTGCTTTTTAGCCATTCTCATGTGTAGAGTAAAATAAATTCCTTCATAGGTAATCTTAAATTCTCTGGCTGGTGGTCCTTTATACCATATGCCCAATGTTGGTAATACCTTCTTTTTGATTCTTTTCTCACTGTATACATATTTTGAAATCGTGACAGATTGTCTTGTTGCCCTTGTCCAATTGACTGCTTGCAGCATTTCTTGGATATAATAGTTATCCAGCTCCCAGTAAGCTGGACTAATGGGTTGTTGTAGATGATATATCACAACTTCCTTGAGTGTGCCTTTATTTCTCATTAGTTTATACTTTGTGTTTGTTTCTCTGTACCATTGGTTAAGACTTGGTAAGGGGTTGTTTCGCTTGTATAGTATAATTTGTTCTTTAACTTTATTGGGATAGTTTAATAGTCGTTTTTCTTCATTTTTGCCAATCTTCTGATATTGTAGCAAATTGTATAGGTGTTCCTTGCTTGTTTCCTGTATTAAACTCTGTTCCTCCAGTGGTACTAGTACTTTTGTTCCAGGACCACCAATTCCATCAATGAACTTATCTTGATAAGGGATGTCCAGAATAGAATACCCTGGAGAAGAATAGTGACCAGCAAATTTGATACAACTAATTCTGTTGCTAATTTTTATCCATGGTGATTGTTGCCCAAGTGTGTAATTATTCTTGAGGTTTCTAAAGACAATAATTGCCTCTTCTGTCTCACAATAGGACTGCCCTGGTAAA